AGATTGTTAAAACATAAATGTCTCGTGACTTAGCAGATGTTTCTTGTATCAACAGATGGCTGACCGCGATGAGGAACAGATATTGTACGATACAATCGCGGAGGGAAGCAGCCAGTACTGGAATGAAGAAGAGGGGAACGAGGATCCAAACCAGTACTTGAACGAGGAAGGGAACGTGGAGAGGGATGCGGAGGGGAACCAGCAGGGGCACGTGGAAAGGGATGTGGAGGGGAATCAGGAGGAGGAGGCTAGTGGTAGTCAACCCTCCGTTGGACAGAAGAGGGCACGCGGGCAACGAGGTGCAGCGAAGAAGCTTGAGGGTCGGCACATCATAACGGAAGTGGAAGAAGATGGACGTCCTAGTGCCCCGGCCGAAGCCGCCAAGAACTATGTACGTCACAGCGGTTGGGTTGTGCGGGATAACGTGCCTGTCAGTACGGTGTACTGGCGAAGAACAAGGGCACGCGGAGATCATGAGAGCTTTGTCCCAGATTCGGAGAAAGAGATGCTGTGGACCACAATGCTCGAGACATTCACCCTTCCTGCGGGTACAGAGGACAAAGTGAAAAGGTGGACTCTGAAGAAAATGGCAGAACAGTTTCAGAGCTTCAAGGGAGATCTGTACCAGAAGTATATACTGAAGGGGCAGACACCGAACTTCGACACATTCCCAAAGCTAAGGGATCACTGGGACGAGTTCGTTGCATATAAGACAGGTGAACAAGGGCAGGCGATGATGGAAAGAAACAAAGAAAATGCCGCCAAGAAGAAGTACCATCACCACTTGGGGTCAGGAGGCTATAGCGTCGCGATGCCGAAGTGGGAGCAGATGGAGGCTAGCTTGATTGAGAGGGGTATCGAACCGGCAACAGCCAATTGGCCGGAACGATCGAAGTTCTGGTACTATGCTCACGGTGGAACGCTCAACCCAGCTGATGGCTCACTGGTCTTCGGCTATCAAATACGAGAGGCTGCGCGACGACTAACAGATGCAGTGGAAGCCTCCTCTCAGGGCACGTTCCGACCAGACAGAGATAGGGACGAGCTGACACTCGCCCTGCAGACTCCAGAGCATCCAGGACGAACTTGAGGGAAAGGGGTGATTCCTTGGAAGATTGGTTTCAAGGAGGACATCCACACGTACAGGAGTCGGATGAGGAGCAAGAGAGATACCGAGGCGAAGATTGCAGACCTAGAGTTCCGGGTATCGAGCTACGAACTCAACATGCAAGAGGAGGTGGCAAGGAAGGTTGATGAACGCATGGCCGCACATCGGTCCCATGATCCCCAGCCGACCATTCCTCCTGCAATGGTGAGCCCGTCAGGAAACCGTAGCAGCTGCGCCTCAACGGGGCAGGTAGGATCACAGAGCATGGACGCCATGCAAACACAGGACGAATCGACCTGTCCCGTTGATGACATCACTCAGCGGACACCATGTGAGCTGCATATTCCTTTCAAGAACTTATCAATAAAGGTAAGATTTAGCCATTCCGCTAGTTGCTGCTTATATATGTTGATTACTAATAAATAATCTCTCACAACATGAAGGTGGCGTCGGGCATGGCCACCCCAACGGACCCTTCAGGTACTTACCACTGCAGGCCGATTCCAGCAGGATACTCCAAGGTCGAAGTTGAGTTGGTCGAAGGCTCGTACGAGGACCTCGAGCTGGATTACCCTGGAGGAGACGGTGAGACGCATCTACGAGACACATGCCATGCCATTATTCTATGGCGCAGGCGGTACATCATCCTCCCTGGGCGACAAGCGGCGTCTCGTGCACCATCTCCTCCGGCTCCGCCATTTCCTCCTCAGGATCCTGCACCGTCTCCTCCTCATGCTCCGCCAGCACCGTCTCCACCGCAGGCTCCAGCATCGACTCCTCCTCAGGATCCTGCACCGACTCCTCCTCGTGCTCCTACACCTACTCCCCAGCAAGCTCCTCTTCCGGCACCTTCAAAGTCAAGGGCCCCCCCAGCTCCACCGCTTGCCCACACAAGGGCAACAAAGAAGGCGAAAGTTGACGCCGCCAAGAACAAGGACCCGGGGTACGATTGCACGCAAGAGGAGCTTGACGCTTACGTTGCATCAGAAGTCAAGAGACAATTCAAGCCTCGAAGTCCAGAAAAGAAGATTCCTATAGACCCAGTGTCAGGAACTTCTTCAGGGGTATGTCTGCATCTGTCAAGGAGGCCATCAAGCTATCGGACTATGAGCGAACGCTGAAGAAAGCATCTTCTGGAAAGTCCAAACCAGTCCCTCAGCTTGGAGAGCAACCAAACCAGGAGATCGAGCCGTTGGTGACCGGTAAAGAAATGACGATAGAACAATTTATTACTGACACCGGTCTAACTACGGATCAATTGCTAGGAGTCGCACCAATCGAAAAGGCGGAAGTGAAATACATGTATGAACTCGGTAAACCGCTTGTCAAGCCTGAGCTGCTGCAGTCCCTACCCACACAAATGTACAAGTTCCATCAGCTGTACATGGAGATGAGCGCCACCGGTAGAGAGATGATCGGAGCGAGGATCAGGGACACGGACTTCTTGCAAGGAAATGACATTCTCTGGATCAATTTCAGGGGAATCTACGAACTATACCAGCTGGACGCCCTCGACGTCTCTATTATGAGTTGCTGGATTTTGTAAGTATATCGTTCAGTTAGATTTCTTACTATACGTCTCCTTTAATTAATTAGGTCCTTGTATATAAGTAGACCATAGAAAATAATATACTCCCTTTTATCGTTGTAGAATGGAGATTCAAAGGGCCCGACGGCGGAGGGTTTTCGATACTGGATTCATCGACCCTCGGAAAGTAAACGTCGCAATGCTCGACCAATATCCACAAGAAACAGAGGACAATCTCGTCCATCTCCTGAAGGCGCAGCATTACAAGACGTTCATACTGTTGCCATACAACACAGAGTTAGTTTAATTTTACTGTCTTCCTACATACCAAATTTCATTCCCGTACGAACTTGCTAAGTGTTTCATATGTAATGCATCCCACGCACATTGCAGATTCCACTGGGTGCTTTTACTCATCGACCTGGAGGCCTGCACCGTCAACGTATATGACTCAATGGATAAAAAAGAGTCTACGTTTGACAAGGTTTTCGAACTTATAGACAGGTACCGTCATAAGTTCCTTTGTTAATTAAGAAAATCTTGTTATGTTAATTGCTACTACGAATCATAGCTTTAAACTCCATGTAGGGCTTGGTATCGGTTCCGTCATTTGGTTCGCGGCAAATGGAGAGAAAGACTTAGGCGGAAGTTCAAATTTCCTGTGAGTACACATGCTCTACATTTATATTTCTCCGATTCAAATACATACAAGTGTATATTAATTAGATCTCTCGTTGTTTGTCATTTATTTGTAGTGCGCAAAGCAAAAGCAGGGAACTAACTTGTGCGGCTATTACGTGTGCGAGTATTGCCACTGCCTTGCAGACCAAATCATCACCACAAGAGAGCTCGATGTACGTACAAATAAATTCAAAATTTCATTACGTAGCGATTTCTTGTTTAATTACTAATCAATTTCATACATTCATATAGTTTATTCGCATGAGGGATAACCTGACCACACACAAGGAATTTATCGCGGCGGTTCAAGAACAACTCATGGGATTCATCAACGAAGAAATCCTTGATCCCAAGGGTGAATTCTACTACGACGGAAACACAATTCACCGGTCCTTAGCTTCTGAGCTAGCAGCGAGTACTACTACGTCGAAATCGTAGCTAGCTAGGACATATAATGGATTGTAATTAATACATGACTACATATGTTTCTATATGCATGTGTACACATTTTCTATAATGTAAATATATTTTGTTCATATATATATCTATATACATATGCATTTGCATAACATATATATGTATAAATACATATATATTATGCATGTATATACATATAATATAATATAATATATATATATATACATATATATATATATGTATGCATATATATGTATTGAAACATATATATGCATGGTTTATATATATATATATATATATATATATATATATATATATATATATATATATATATATAAACCATGCAGCAACAGGGCATGCAAAAAAAAAAAGGTCAGCTCAACAGGGGTAACACCAACCGGGACTAAAGATCGATCTTTACTCCCGGTTATTTCACCCGGGACTAAAGATAGCGATCTTTAGTCCCGGATTGGTACTCCCGGTTTGGAAACCGGGACTAAAGGGGGTTACGAACCGGGACTACAAAGGGTTTCTCCACCAGTGAAGGTACGTACTATATATATGCAGTATGCTATCACACGTACCACCACAAGAAAATGTGCCCTCAAATATGTACACAAAAAACTGTGAATTTATTTTAGATGTACAACACAATGAGACACATGTGTTAACACAAAAGACATCAACTAAAAACGGTATATGCATATATGGAGAGAAAAAAAAAGACATATTCAATGTCAACACAGTTCACACTAGCTACTACGTACTAGCATAATGCTTTGTTTTTTTCCATTACTCCATTATTTTGTAAAACAAATATTGACCTGACGTTTTCTTTGGTGGTACACATATATTACGTGTTGCACATTTAAAAACATTTTATATATGATGTTTAATTGTCGTCCAATTGGGAGAGTACTGAGTACGTGTACTTCGGTGCCATACCAGAGAGATCATTCTGTCGATACGGCGTGTGCAACTAAAAATTTGCATCTGTCTCATGGTGTTTATATTTTTACTAAGTAAGATATAGATTTTACGTGTTTTGCGTGAAAATTTTATATACAAAAATCGTTTTAAAATATCAAATAAATTAATTTTTCAAATTTATAATAACTATAACTCAATTTATCATGTGCTAATGGTTTTTTTGTTATGCATTCCTTTAACTTCATCTTCATTAGAAAAAAAAACCACCTGAAGCTCTTCGCACGAATGTCGATACATTCCCAAGCGTGTATAAATTCAACCCTTCCATGCGTATTTGTGTTCAAGAACGGAGAGACAAAACCAGCTGCATTATAGCACACACCAGTCGTGTCTACGTACACAAATTGTTGTCGCACACATAATTATCATCCATCGATCCATCCATACAAACGTACGTAGAATCATGAAGCTTGATTCGTTCACGGCACGCCGGGGAAACCCCGAGCTGGTTGCGCCGGCGAGGGCGACGCCTCGCGAAACCAAGCCGCTCTCCGACCTCGACGACCACTGGGACCTGCGCTACCTGCAGCCAAGCCTCGAGTTCTTCCGCGTGGTCGACGGCGATCGTCGGCCGGCGAGGCCAGGGGACGGCATCAAGGCGGCCCTAGCGGAGGCCCTCGTGTACTACTACCCGATCGCCGGCCGCCTGCGGGAGCTGCCCACGGGCCACATGCTCGCCGTGGAGTGCACCGCCGAAGGGGTGGTCTTTGTGGAGGCAGAGGCAGACGTGGCGTTGGAGGACTTCGGCGAGCCGCTGATGCCGACGTTCCATGGCGCCGAGGGGTTCCTGTGCGATGTTGGAGACACCAGAGTCATCGTTGGGAGACCACTGTTTTACCTGCAGGTAAATCCAGCATGCATGCATGGATTGACCATTACTCATATATATGTGCTTAATTGATCAAAATGTTTATTCGGCAGTATCCAAACACCTTTGAGTCCTTGAGATACATATGCTTTGAAACACCACTTGATTATATTGCATCCATTAAGAACGGTTTTGCACAAAATATGACCCCATATTTTCTTGCAAAAATTGCAAAAACCACCCCCGTATGTTTAGATTTCTTTCAATGAGACAATTAGTTGCAAATACCCTTCCTAGCTAATTCACATTTGTTTAATTTTTCTCAACGTTTACCGTCTTTCACGTGTCTTTTTTTCACTTCCACATGTACTTTGACATGACTTAGCGTATCTGTTGATGAATAAGGACCCAAGCACATCTTTTAAAAGAGAAATGATCACATTGAGCTCATCTTTCTCATTTTGAATCTATCAAAGAAACCAGCTACTGCCAAACTCTATAAGGCAAACGCAATAGCTTATGTTCGGTGACTCTGAGGCTTTGTCTCTGATGTTCATAGCGAAAACTCTGGATCACCGTCACCGTCACCCATGACTCGCTGGCCGCCGTGATTAGGGATGCCTCAATTGTGTCAACGGGTATGGCCGACATGAGTGTTTACCATGGCTCCTCGTTTATTAGTATTCATATAGCGCATGTGTGGTTTATGGCCATGAAAATGGCGGAGTAACGGCAATTAGGGGGAATCTCAAACCAAGGGGCATGAAAATGGCGGAGTATAACAGCAATTAGGGGGAATCTCAAACCAAGGAGGATTAAAAGTGGGTATTAATTTGCAATGAATGGTCTTATACCAGGAATTCTGAACTTATGGTGACATGTGGGGTGGTTTTTGCATTTTTCCCTATTTTCTTATTTGGTTTTAGGCACTTTTCTCCCTGTGTGATTGTTATATTTATTCTCTTATATATTTCTACTATCCCTTCTTCCAAGTAGGTAATTGATTGTTTTTATCCTAATTCTTTTATATTACGTGTATTATAAACAATTGAAGAGTAAGTTTTAAAATTAACTAGTGCAAATTATGTAATTTATAATGTAAAAATGATTTTTTTAAAAAAAATTGGCCATCACCATAAATATAGCTAGCGGGGACTAAAATAGAGCAATTTTGAGATCCTCAGTAGTGCCATTTGGCTGTAATAAATGTTTGGAATAAGTTTGTCAGCGCGCGGTCCCTCAACTTTATGTTGGGTTTATATATCACATTCCTAATCTATAATACCAGAAATCTTCACCCATGAACTATATAAAACCGTGTAATTTTAGTCCCATGGTAGCATGATCTCCGATTTCACCGACGTGACATCGTAGTCAACAAAATAGAAAATAAAAAAATAATAGGGCCTACGTGTAAGTGAGAAAAAAAAAGAAGACCGCTCATATAAGTTCACCGGCAGCCCCGTCGATGGCTCTCTCGTGGCCGCCGCCGGCATCGTTTTCAGCTGCTGCTGCCGCCGCCACCGTCGCCGCCCCGAGCGTCTTGCGACGGGAGGAGGGAAGGGGGTGAGGGGAAGGGGAGGCGGCCGGCGGAATGCAGCCGCCGCCACCACGCAGATGTGCAGAACAGCTGCTGGCCGCCGTGGAAGCTGGCGCGCACAGCGACGCATATATATGATGATAGATGATGTGGTGTGTTGTGTTCCATCAGCTAGCTGTGCGCAGCTGAATTCCTGCCAATAGCTAGCGCCTAGCGGATCATATCTATCTCAACGTCGTCGATGGCGAGCCATCGGTAATCGGGTATTGATCATCGGCCGGCCTGCAGCTACCTGTACTGTATCTCTCTAGGTACTGTGTGTGTGCAGTGCATGCTATTTGTCAGCAGGTGATGATCGGCCCCGGGCAGCTGCCTGATGCAGCGTTGCGTCGTCGTCTCCCCTCTATTTTAAGCTCACCGGCTACTGGTAGTAGTAGAGCCAAGAACCAAAGCTATTTTAACTACGGAGTTGCTAGAAATATGGCGCCATATGCTACAGTCGATTTTTTTCAGCCACTTACACAGTAGTTACACCTCATTTACACCCCACTTACATATGCAATTAGTATGTAATTTTCGAATTTACATATATAATTTTAGTACTTACATATGTAATTTTGAGACTTACATTGTAAATACACTAAAATTACATATGTAATTTAGGGACTTACAATGTAAATACATGCCGACTATTTTTTGATGAAAAATATGGCGCCATAAATATAGCTACACCCTTTTAACTATACATACCATTGTAGCAGCCGAAATCTGGAGTTAGCGTACTGCTTGGAAGTCCATACAGAGAAAATTCCCTGTGTACCCTGTAATTTCATCCAATCCCTCTTAGATTTGCTTATTTCTTTCTGTACCCCTAAATTTTAGTTTGGATCTCTTCCATATCCCTTCCGTTAATTGGCTGTTAGTTGACCGTTAAATTCATTTCACAATATCTATTTTGCACTTTGAAATCAAGAAAATATAAATTTATGAAGTATATTGAATGAGGCTATAAATTTATTTTATGCGACTATTATATTTATGAGTTTATTTTGTGAGATATTGTTTAGCAAAAACAATATTTTACTCTCGTCCCCATGAAGGCAAAAAAAAATAATTTTGATCTATGACAAAATTTATTTTTAGATATAACAAAAAAATATCTTTACCATTAAAATTTATATATATAAGAAATCTATTTATGTGCTAAAAATAATTTTTAATAACTAGTAAATAAATTCATTTTTTTATGTCATATCTAAAATAAATATTATTTATGACTTTGTTATGCAAAATATTATTTATGATAATTTATTTTTTATGCGAGATAAAAATTATTTTTGTTAAATAATATCTCACAAAATAAACTCATAAATATAATAGTCACATACAACAAACTTATAGAGTCCATCAATATACTTCATAAATTTATATATTTTTATACCAAAGGTTAAAAAGGACTTTATAATAGGAATTTAACGACCAACTAGCGGAAGGGGTATAGAAGGGATCCAAACTGAAATTTAGGGATATACAAACGAATGAGAAAATATCAGGGGCATAGAAGGGATTGTGCGAACTTTTAGGGATACTCAAAGAATTTTCTCCATATAACCTTGCAGCGATCCGATCTATCGTGTTTTGCTGCTTCCATGGCTGACGAGGGGTCGTCGCGAGGCAAGCTGGTCGAGCCGTTGCCCTTGCCCTTGCCCGCGCCCGATCTTCTCCGTCACCTGGCCGGCCTCTAGGGTCCAAGAACAAGCCCAAGCCGCTGGTGGTTGCGACGCGGGAGAGCAAGGCGGCGATGAGCCCTGTCGTGCGGGAGCTTGCCGGCTACAAGGTGGCCGCATTCGTGCGGTACCGACGCGTCGGTGTGTCTGTGGCTCTGTGCTGTGAGGCCGCAGCACTGTCGCTGCCACCACGCTCTGGCTCCCGACCTCGCCGGCGACTGCGGTAAAGCTGCACGGGCGGTTCGAGGTGCTGTCTCTGTCCGAGACGGTGCTGTGGTCCGCAGACGGAGGGGATCGCCGCAACACCGCCGTTCTCGGTGTGTCTAGCTAGGGCGGGAGGGCAGGTGATCGGCAGCACTCTCGCCGGGGAGATGACGGCTGCGGATGGATTGGTGGTGGTTGCCGGCACATACATTCTAAAGAGAAGAGAAGAAAAAAGAGATACGAGCCCCACAATTTTTTTCTTCTCACTTACATGTGGGCCTCATATTGTTCTTTATTTTTTATTTTGCTGATTAGGATGCCACGTTAGCTAAACGAAAGATCTATACTGCCATGGGACTGAAATTGTACAGTTTTATATAGTTTAGGGATAGAGATTTCTGGTACTGAGAATTAGGGATGTCATAAAAACTCGGCGTAAAGAGGGATGGCTGGTGAACTTATTCCTAAATGTTTTCTCTATCATAAAATTTAGCATCTCTTGGTTTGTGATCGAGGCATTAAACTAAACCAAATATTATTATACTATGGTACATATCAGTATCTGCTCTAGTGTCATAAAACTTCTCTTAAAAGTAAATATATCTACTGTCCAGTGCGAGTGACTCTACCCATGCTCCAGTGTTTACTGTGGTGAGAGAAGAACACAGTTGCTATATTGGGACTTATGAATTGTTATAGGAACGGCCAGTTATAAAATGAGAAAATTCGATCCATAGCACATAAAAAAACCTGGTACCAAAAAATAGCACAAAAATTTTTTCACTTCGACTAAAAGCACAGGGCACCAATTTTCTTGCGATTCATAGCACTCCCATCACATCTGCCATCCAAACATGTGAGTTCATATGAAAAAGGACTCATTTGCCCTTCTTCCCCGAGCTAGCGCTCTTCTCCCTCGGTGATGTTGCCGCGCCCATGTCGCCGATGCTCAGTGAGCTGACGGAGCCGCTCTTCCTGCCCGCCCGCTCGCTCAGCCGCTCCCGATCGGCACCCGCCACCATGCTTCCCACTGTTGCCAGCGCCAGATCCGCCGCGCCGCCGCCGGATTCACGCGCGAGGGGTGGAGCACCGGGAGGAAGGCGGTTGAGGAGGAGGTGGAGACGCCGCACCTCCGGCCCGCCGGGTCCCGGCTGCCTACTCGTCAGCGGCGGCCTCGCTCGAGGTCACGGAGCCGACAAAGCCCGCCGCTTGCTAGCTCGCGAATCATCCCAACGTCCGCCAGCGCGCGCTGCAGCCCGCCTGCATAAGCGGCAGGTCATCGCCCCCGTTGCCGTTGTCGTCATCGCCGTCGTCCCCGTCGAAGCTACGGCCGCCCACGTCATCGTCGTCAAGCGGCCGCCGGCGTGGGAGGCTCGCCCTCGATCAGTAGCGCCAAGCGCCAGACGGGGTCCACCTCATCGTCGGCGGCAACGGCGAGCCACGCACCCACATCGTTGAAGAGCGCACGCGCAGCTCACTCGGCGGTGGCGGGCGCCGCGCGCCGCCATCCATGAGGGAGCGGAAGAGGAGACCTGGTGGGGAACGTGGGGAACGAAGGGCAAATGTGTCCGACGAAAATTTTCTCCACTCCGATCTAACGCCGTTACTTCAAAATGTGACGGAAGTGCTACAGGGCGAAGAAAAATCGGTGGCCTATGCTATAGATCGAAAGTAGAAACTTTTTATGCTATTTTTTAGTACCGCTTTCTTTCCTGTGCTATGGATCAAATTTTCTCTTATAAAATTGTCATAGGAACGACCATGTTTAGATCCTTATATATATTGAGAGATCCCATGTTTAATTAACTACAGACAACATTTGCTATCTGTTGTTGCAAAAACAGAGTTGCAGCTTTATAACTGAAAATCTTTTCAGCATGCATTGTTTACAGTCACAAACTTCGTATATATGTATGGTTTTTCATTAACATTTGTTTTTCTTTGACAGATCACTTATCTCAAATGTGGAGGATTTGTCCTTGGAACTTACATGTGTCATTGCATAGCTGATGCCTTCGGCACAATTCAATTCTTGAAAGCTATAGTTGATATAGCACGTGGTGAGGCAAAACCAACCACGTTGCCAGTTTGGGAAAGGGAGCTCTTTCTCGCAACAAGTCTACAACCCCACATCAAAGAAGACCAAAAGAAATTATTTGATGAACTGGAGAGCACCACATGTGATGATATTATGGTGACAATGCCTACTGAAAACATGGTTTCTGAATACTTTATTCTCTCTCAAATAGATATGGCTGCACTAAGGCGTCATGTTCCATTAAATCTCAATAAAACAGTCACGAGCTTTGAGCTACTAACTGCAGTTACATGGCGTTCCCGTACTATAGCACTTGGCTACAGACCTTGCCATATTGTACGCTTGATGATTGTTGTGAATGCACGTGGGAGATGGAAGAAGCTTCCTTTGGGATACTATGGCAATGGGCTTTTGTGCTCTGTCATTGAGACAACAGTCAATGACTTGTGCACAAACCCGTTAGGACACACAATTGAACTCGTCCGGAAGGCTAAAGACGAGATGAAGACAGAAGAAAATATGCAATTGAGAGTAGATTTATTGCCATTGTGGCGTGAAAAACCGTACATAAAAGTACAGAGAATATTTGAAGCATGTGACATAAAATGGATTGGGCAGGATACTTTGGATATTGGATGGGCTAAGAGGATAGGAGGTGGCATACCGACTGTTAGTCCGCCAAATTTGACAAGCTACCAATTCTTGTGCAAGAATGAAAAAGGTGAAAAGTCAACCGTCATCTCCATGTTGTTGCCACAACCTGCAATGGATAGATTCAAAAAGGAGATGGCTGCTTGGTTAATTGAATAACTAAGAGGATAAATAAGTATATCTGCTTCACGTAGAGTAAAACCACATCATCTTTTATTTGGTCGGTTGCTGAATAAGACATAGTTTCATCGGTGTTGGTTTTGTTATTCAGATGGGCTTGGGCGCGGATGGCATTTAATTAGTTAGGTCTTTTCCATTTGGTGACCAGTGTGTTATATTTATGATTATGTACTTTATTTTGTGGAGGATCGATTATCGTATAGCTCGGTCATAAGTCAGTGTACCATTACAAAACTACATCAAGTTGTGCATTATTGTGACCTTGTAAAATGGTGTTTTATGAGATAATCAAATTGTTGTTCGATCTGGCACACCCTTTAATAATATACCTATATATGGTTCAGATGAAACTGTTCGGGAGAAGATTATTCTAAGGTGCCGGACTGCCGGTTCTCTTGACCCTTTGCCTCTCAAACACCACTGATGGATCTAACATATAACTCAGGCTGTGTTTAGTTCACACTAAAATTAAAAGTTTGTTTAAAATTGGAACGATGCGACGGAAAAATTGAAAGTTTATATGTGTAGGAAAGTTTTGATGCGATGGAAAAGTTGAAAGTTTGAAGAAAAACTTTGGAACTAAACACAGCGGCATTGATCCCACAAACATATCCATGCTCACATGCATGCCTTCCTGGACAATATGATTCCAGTAAGATTAAGCGAAAGGCAGAACCCTTATCAAGCTGCACAAATTAAGAGACGCATCTATGAAATTTAAAGAGGTATATATAAGTACACTGATATGTTCCAAACTCCCAATTGGTTCAGTATCTACTTGACTAGACTACCAGGGTAATAGTACCTAGTTTACTTTAACCAGTCCTAACATTAAGACAAACCAAACTTCCATCAAGCTGAACAAATGGCACTTTTGCTGAAACTGCTGATATCACGATCAGAATTACAATAACCAAGTATTCCACATTATCACAGATCTGAAATTAATATAGGCGCACAAATCAACCAAAAAATATACTTGTAGCTAGAATGGTAATTATTTTTCGAACGGTCGGACCGTTGCCTTGGGCACTTTCTACGAGCTTCCACGTTAACTGAAAAGATCTAACCATTGATTAGGACACTAAAGCAATCGTGACCATAGATTAAAAGATCTCACGTGGGCCTTTTTTTAAAGCCCATCCAACCCTTGCCGTATCAATCTCCTCTTATCCGCGAAAACTAAAAGATAATATGTATATGATCATATCCAGATGGACGATCGATCTCAATTCCCCATGCATAAACACGATTCATGGTGCCGTCGTCTGAGACTTCGCATGTGGCTCGGGAACGACGACGCAGAACTAGACGATGCTGTTAGCTGATGGACGCCAGCGACGAGATCAGTCAATCGCTCGAGAGCACAATCGACACAGCGAACTCTACCTGTGCCCGCTCTATCTGTACCACTTCGACATGCATTCACTCTGGCTGCTGCATGGCGTGCTGTACGATCGGGCTAGATACAGTGGGGCTTAGCGTGTGCAATTGATTAAAAAGCTAGACTAATAATATTACCTGTGTGTAGGGTATTAAAAATAATAATCAACAAATGCAACATAGTGGATATTCCTGAAGCAGCAGAGCTAGGGAAGAGGATTGATACTAAATGCCCAATTATGTTGAGTCAAATTTTCAGTGTCCACTAAATGCCTGATTATCTTATAATTACAAAGTTTTGCATCTATCTGGGTGGCACAAAGTTAAAATTATAAGAAGAGCCAATGCCAGTTAGCACTTTCTAATTATAAATTTGAATTTCCATGTTATTATGAAATTAATAAGATATTAGAATTGGAGTTTATGACAAGTAAAATTTCATATATCCAATATCAATTAATTATTAAACGTCAGTCTATAAATGCACACTAAGTATGATCCTGCATTTAATTGCCACCATATATACAATTAATGCTAACTTTAGAATGATATTGGGAAAGTGTAATCGAGACTGTAAATAGAGTACTACTCAATATATATTAATTCTAAATTTTAAAATTATTTTATCAAGAAAAGGTGTAATTGCAGGATACTTACTAATACCTAATTTCCAAATTAAATTATACAAAATACTAAATTAAAATTCTAACATAAGTACGGCATGGTTCTTTCTAATTTTGAATATTGAAATTATTAAATTAACAAAATAAAAAGTAGCATGAGAAATATTATGAAGGATTCTACAGGTATTTGTAAATAACAATTTTGATATTTTCTGACCTGAAATAGTAATTTTGATTTTTGTAAGTACAAATGAATTGAAATAAAACCATTTGAACTTTAAAACAAAGTTTGCATACAACTTTTAAGATAATTTAAAATAGCTGGCATATCTAATAGTTTAATTCATATAGTGCTTAAGCAATAGCCCGTGCAACGCATAGGTTGACGGCTAGTGCCGATAATTTTGGAGACTGAGAATGTTGATGTCGCAACAGCCCTTGTGAAAAACCTGTCGTCTCGATCTAGCTGGGCAGCAACAATTTCTGAAGCAAAGGGTGTGATGAAATGTCTCCTAAGTGTCAAGGTGTGCAAAATAAAGAGGGAAGCTAATAGGGTGGCTCATCTTCTTGCTCAACTGGCAATGAGGTCGAGGTCCTGCGCTGAATGGAGACTGTGCGCTCCTACAGCGATTCTTGATCTGTTAAACTAGGAATGTAACCCATATTTCCATCACTAATACAAACTCTCTCTTTAGATTAAAAAAAAAACAACGATAAACATGGTAGGACGTAGCACGCAGCATTAGTAACGGCCAACATGCAAAGCAGCTCAGCATTGCCAAATGCCAACGCACAAGACGAGACCTATTTCGTGCAAACGCGCCAGCAATCTAAATTACATGCACTTTTCGGCCCATAACTCTATAAGCCCACGTGAATGGAGTCTGATTTGCATGTTAACGCGGCCTGTGCATCCAAGATCTCCACATGATGCAGTTCTGCCCAGGTCTCATGGTCCTTTGTTAATTTGATCCACATGCAAGGACCAGCGTGCACATTGTTCTTTTTTCTTAATTATGATTTGGCTTGTGTTTTCTTAAACAACTCAACTATGGGATACAAATTTGATGACGTGAATACGAACCTTTTATCTATTTGACTTGAAAGTTAGAAGTACGGTTCAAAATATTTTATTTTTGTTAGTTGAAATTGGAAGAATTTTGATTTCAAAATTTGAATTAAAAGTTTTAACATTTGAGTCGAAAGGTTTAAAATCTGAGTTGAAAGTTTTCAATCCTGAGTTAAATGTTTTAAATTTTTAGTTGAAAGTTTAAAAGCTCAAGTTAAAAGTTTTTAATTTCGAGTATTGAGTTTTAACGTTTAAGTTGCTAGATTTAGAAACTTTCAAGTTCTAAGTTGGAAGTTTTAATAGTTTCAAACTCTGAGTTGAATGTTTCGCATCATGAGTGGAAAGTTTCAAAATCTATATTGGATGTTTTCAAGTTTAAGTTGAAAGTTCAAAAATTTTGGGTGATGTTTTAAAATTTTTAGTCGTAGAACATATACTTAGAGTTTTCAAATTTAAAATGGGAGAAATTAATGGTATATATTACTCATGTTTAAATCATTAAGTTGGAAGACGAAGAGAACTTTTAACAGGGCATAGTGTGGTTAATTAAAGAGGAAGGTCTAATTAATCGAACTATAGATTTAACGTTAATACTAGAAAAAAAACATGAGTGATAAAGAAATTAAAACTCCCAAACAGATCGTGTGCGCGACTTCTTGTGGCGGCGCGTGAGAGCCAACTATAGGAGTTCCCAGCCTATGCACGCAGGAGAGAAGTGATGGATATGTATCCATTCTATTGTTAGTTTGTGACGTTTCATACTTTCATACTGACTCATACATATAACTCGTGGTCCACGTACCGGTATGACGGGGATATCTACGTACTCCCTCTGTTTCACAGTATAATACTTTCTAACATTCCTCATATACATATAGATGTTAATGAATCTAAACACACTTATATATTTAGATTCGTTAATATCTAAATGTATATAAGCAATGCTAAAAAATCTTACATTATGAAATGGAGGAAGTACCAATTTATACCTAGCGACGGCGAATCGTAATACTCTGTGACGGTTTTGCACCGCAAATAGAAACAACGCGCATACGTCCAGTTGAGGCCGGGCGGCCGGGCGTGATGCACGGGGCTCATCACAATCCCTACGTGTGTGGTGCGGCGCGTAGCCTGCGTGCGTGCGCGGTGAGGCGCGTGCGGACAAATCGATCGATCGATTGATCGAGATCAGTATATATGATGGCGCGATCGTCGACAACGTCGTGTTGCATTGGCCGCTAGCTTGTTGGGGTCACGACGACGCCCGGCGAAAATGGGAAAAGCATATGCATGGCCCCTTCACCCTCCAGGACCATCGGGCATCGGCACCGAAATAATTTTGGATGGTCTCATCACTTGGTGGTGATGCACTCTTTCAAAATAAAACAAATATACGTGGAGCAAAAGGAGAGCTTTATAGAGTACGGGGCTGTTTGGTTGCTTGCTAAACATTGCCACACTATAGTTAGTCAAATTTGATTTTTTTTTGTGTGTAAATGCTTGGTTGAAGCCAAAGGTTTGACATGCCACACTTTTCTACTCTCATGGTCCATATGTCATACACTCACTTGTTAATAAAAATTTACCAGAAGTGTGGCTCTTTTTTTTTAGTGCCACAAAAACTATGGCATACAACACCTGTGGCATAGAAGTTTGGTAAAATGAGTAATCCATCCAAACAGCCAAATTTCTTGTGCATCTTTATTTGCTGCTAATTAAGATTTCTGTCAAAGAGACCGATCGAACAGGAGGAAAGAAAACGTGGTTAAACATATATATCAACTGGTTAGGTTCGTAGACGGGAACCAATCTATACCGTTCAAGTTACTTACCTCAATGATCGTATTTATGGTTAATTATTTTTCGGGTCAAATAGCTGGGTGACTACGCTGGTGTCAGGGTGAGTACATGCGCGCACTTTTATTTGACGTTTTTAATGTGGTTTAAAGAAAACAGCTGATTACTGGCTATAACCTTTTTCTATTGCATCTTGTATTAGATTGATTTGCATTAATTCAATAGCTAACCGATAATCAGAAAAAAAAGAGCTAATAACTAAAATCAATAATAAGAAGCTAAAAGATCATAAAAAATAAACCCAACTCATTGAAAAATACTTTACAACACATTGCACATTCAATTTATGTATAAATTAGAGGATATATCCTGTGCATTGCTACCGGACATTCTTAAAATCAGTTGTTGGGTAATATGTGCATTCTCAATCTAGAAAAGAAACAAATGGACTT